TAATTTTGGGACGTTGGCTAAGTGGCCTTTTACACAAAAATTATTGGAAAAAATTCCTGTGATCTCAAATAGAAAATTGATGTTCATAGGCAATTTCGTATTTATTTGATACATTGTCACATAGGAGACTTTTTTCGAAACATCTGTATTTGTGAGATTTTGGGAAATTCTTAGGTGGACGTATAATTATGGGACGCAGTGTATATGTACTTAACCGATGCGCTCCCTCTTTATCGTAACCACTCTGAGAGAGTTGAATTATAAAGAAATAGTAGCTGGGATTGGGTTACCCGGCGAGGGGCTCGTCGCGCGGCACCAAGGCAGAGTGAGCGGATGACTCGCATAGCTCCACCTTCCAGTGATACACTGCCTGTGACAGACCGACCTACAGTAGCGGTCAAAAGTGTTCGCCGAAACGATTTTTAGTGCATTATTTTTTCTCGCTTGAGCAACGCCCTCCAAAGATTGATATACTATGTTTTCTAGTGTTTTTATATCCTCAAGTCTTAAAGAATCAGGATATTCAAAAGAAAAAATTTTCGAGGCCACCATTGATTTTTTCTGGCAAAAAAAGAGAAGCACGAAAACCGTTTCGGCGAACACTTTTGACCGCTACTGTATGTGTGTGAAATGGATGCAGGATTTATCAAATCTGATAGAATCAGGTTGCGAGATTTAGGAGTCAGAGCTGAAGTCGGGATTATTTCCCATGACTGTAGCCACAAGAGTAATTCTTTATTCAAAAATCGTACAATAACATAACAAACCCGAAATATCGTGGTACTTGAACAGAAAAATATTTAACGCCGAATATTGCACACATATGAAAGCAACTATCTGAAGGCTTGAACAGCTATTTTCCTTTGCTTAAGTGCAACTTACCATATTAAGGAGGTTTTCAGATTGTTTTAGGAACGGTACACCGAAAAGTGGGGAAAGGTAGGGACCATTCGACATCATTAAATAAGTAGTAGCATAACGATTTCATTAACCCTTATGATCAGGTGCCACCAAGGTGTGAAGAAGAAGCCCCCAATGGTTTTAAATCTAGCCGGTGCCCCACTCCGACCTGGCATAGGTCATACACGATGCATAGTTACGGATATGTGTTCTAAGCAGTGAGATGAATTGTGTTGTTGAGGTGGTTGCGCCATCAGCAAAGGAACAAGCCAGGAACACCCTACATCCGACGCGCTCTGTTCCTGTTCAGTAACCGTTTGTAGGCCCACACTCGCCGCTTGAACTCCTCAGCATCCTTTGGCCGCGGCACAACACACGGACCACGTTGAGGATCGGCCCGTACCAGTTCTGGACAATACATAGAGTTCAGCTTTATCGTATCCCACCTGGAAAGCATGTTGATGAAATGAGGTTCAGAAAAGTTTCTCAGATTATTATTGGAATATCCAAGAGCTTTCGGGGCTTCTATCCATCACAATACTTGCTGGCCCAAGAGCTGGTTATGCTTGCTATGATTGAGAAATCCTACAGATAACCCTAAGGGATATTCCTTACTGGTATTCTGCGCGCGATGTCTATGTTTTTCATTAAAAGTAGCAGTTGCGGCTCGACCTTTAGTTAGAAAGTTACTGTGCTGATTGAGTGTCCTTATCTACACTTTCACGTTCCAAGCGGTCCGTTACAGTATATCCTAATCTTTAACCCTATATCCATCTTTGTGCAACCTATTCTCCTTTATCAATCTAATACCATCGAAAGTAAGGTGGCGATGGCTCCGACGCTGTGGCAACATCGACTATCGGAAAACGGACAAAGAGGACTAATTGTTAGACCTCAGAAGGAGAAAAGTGAGAAAGGATAGTAAATTTTGGTGAGTCAAGAGGCGGATGGCTTTCCTGAAGAGAGTGGGCCGTACCCTTGTAACAGCCAACTGCGCTCAGTTTTTCCGACCGAAGCAATACTCTCTTAATTACATGCAGGAATGGATCGACATTCTAAGGTTAGCTCTAGGAAATAGCGGTTTACGAAAATTAGCGTTCCTGTAATTGTTTTTTAAAACTAAATGTTTGTTTGAGGAAACGTTTTTCTTCTATTTTCCCATCCACACTGGACTTCGCGCCCTGGAAGAAAGCTCGATAGTGAACGCTTAGTGTTTTGAGTTTCAAGGATGTTTTAAAGCTCAGAAAAAACGTTTTTTTTTCTCGCATTACGACTCACTTTGTAAGTAGGCCCACACGTTGCCCAGCACCAATATCCACGTCTCATTACGAGCTGGACAGTACTGCGTGAGGCGGTATCTAAATGAGTGGATCTTTGAAAAATGCAACGAGAAACCCAACGGGGTGTTTCAATAACTTGTTCTATTCTAGAGTAATGACAAAATGGGAAAAGGAAAATGCCTGGTAAAAACGTACTTTTCTCTGGCCCAGAGTGGGATCGTTACACTTTCGGGATCAAATGGCCACATTAGTTGAGCAGGTTGGAACACCGGCTGCCGTACAAGTGGCACGGGCCTGAAACTTTTGTTTGGGCGCGGTAAAAATGACAAAGGTTTAAATAGTCTAAAGAAGTGAAGGTCAAGGCGTTTGCACTCACGCGAAGGGCTGCATGTATGAAGGAGCATCGGGGCGATACATTTCTTTTCTCATGCCTGCAATATTCATTTCTTGTGATATCATCATAACTAGTTGACTGTATAATTGTGAGCTATGCAATAAGGTGAAATTTATCGATATATCCTCAATTGTGGCGCTCGAGGGTCTCCTTTTAATTTCTCCCATAATTGATGATTTCACCTTGATCATTTTAATTTCTTCTCACAAAAAGGTGAAATTTATCGATAATTGATCACAATATTTTGCTATTTGATGTGGGCAGAAGTGAGCCATTAGTAAGGCAGTGTTCAGCTGAGGCTGACCGAGCAGGATTTGTTGGTGGATTCATCATAGACGAAATGTATACTTTTTGATTACCGAAAGCTACTGTATAAATCTTACACGTATCCCAAAACACTGCATTAGTGAGGCTATGTCGAATGCATGGCGTAACCCTGAAAAAACGATGATCAATGAGATCACTTCGCCCCTTGTTCTTACCCTGAAGCAGACCTCTTCAATACAAAAAGACAAAAAGAGGTGAGATGGGGGGAGGGGGAGACGGGCGCATGTTGGCGCTGTGTGAGTGCTAAAATACAGCAGAATTTACGTTTTACGCTGCAATTTTATATACCCCCGTCCTCATGCACCCAATCCTGCCACAAAACAACTACGTCTCCTGTCAAGAAGTCCTTGACAGGGATTTACTCCGCTTGCAACTCAAACAGTAGCACACAGATCGCGGGCCTTGTTCGGAAGGGCTACTACTTCGGACTTCATTTCAGTTAGCCATAGAGCACTTTTTCAAGATAGTTTTTTCTCATTATTATTGGAGCATGCACGATACTCGTAAAGCTTCAGAACTTCACGAAAAACGCAAATTCGCGTTTTATGTTCAAGGTTTTTTTGTAAGTCGCTTTAGCGACGAATTTCCTCCCAATTCCAAAGAGATCGTTAAACTCAATTGTTCGAAGATTAATATTCATAAGGATATGTTTTCAGCTATCAAAAGCGCTTTATCTAGGACTGCGCCATGCACTCGAAATTCATCCGGAGAATAATATCCACAACGTAGTGCTCAAATCGAGTACGTGACGTATTCTGTGAAATTATTTTTGTAGGAATAGGGTTCAGGGTTGGTTTAAAATAGCCGCATTAAATTACCATCACATACACGAACACTTCCTATTTTCTTCTGTTCGTATATGTACAAAAATTTCTCAGAACCCAAAATTTTCGATGGAAAGATATAACTGTTACATACACAACTCATCTAAATTGCAATCAGCGCATTCCCACGAGACACCTTTCTGTTTGAAACTTTGGAGCACTCAGAAAAAACTAACCACTTCAAGCTTTGTCGTCTCGAGAAGCGGGGCTAAGAGCAAAACTTCCGCCCCAAGCGCCAATCGACCCGCACGGCTCACTTACCATCAGGTGTCTGACAAGGTAGTATGGGGCTCGACGCACGTTCCAACTTTACTTGCTAGCCGCAGTTGCCCCTCAAGTTTCAAGCGGGAGCTACGGGTTTGGATCCCGCCTAGTACTGAAACTTTGTTCAACCCAGCCTTCTTGTGAAACATTCGCAAAACAATCGTCTTCTGCTTCTGCTTTAGCCACTGAGAATTGGTTATCAACTTTATTCGGCTAACGTTTCGGCGCAATCGCCCTCTTCGGAGTCCTTATTAGAAGCCGAGCGTTAGAAGGCTAAAGCAGAAGCAGAAGACGATTATAATCATGCCGAGATTAATGGAGAGTCGTTCATGGACTATTCGCAAAAACAAACGCGACAAACCAGGAAATTAACAATAAACAAAAGCCAAGGCTTTTGGTTTTTCCTGCCTTTTAAAAGATGATCCGAATCAGTTTTGTAAAAAACACTTCATGTCCTTAATAGGGATTTAGTGCGAGTGTCCGTGGAATGTCTTCTTCCCATAAGACATGCCTTGTCAACAAGGCTTGCCTTGTGGGAAGACATGAGTGCTATAAAAAACACCATGTGAATCGAAATACGGAAGGAAACGAGAGGACTACAGCATAGAAAATTCAGAAAGTGCAAGCATGAGTTTGAGGATCTGAAGGGAATCTCTTAGTCTTGAACTAGGAAATCTGATCAGCGGAAGGGACAAGTAAATGTAAATATAATAACTGGGTGCTCTTGACTTGGAAACAAATCGGGGAAAAAAGAACCGGCGGTACTGCTCAACTATTACAATTTCAAATCTCAAAGCAAAATCGTCAATCGTTTGCCTACATGGGCTACTCAGTTTCGTTTTAGCGCTTTGGCATCTGAATTGCATTTTTGCACCATTCTTTTAGCCAGTCCTCTGCAACTTGTGCATATAGGACTTGATCATGAACATGGCATTGGATTATATCATGGAAGAACTTGGCACCAGCCTGACACTGAAAGCTTAAACGATAGTGCTTTCCGTATGATCAATTGCTCTCGGCATGCGCCACATATTATACTTTCATTCAGGGTCGCATATTCTACCACTGCTAAGAAGGAAAGTGGTTCCGCTTCAACTAAAGAGCCAGGCAATTCGACAGAGCCGGGGATTGCTGGCTACAGATATAAAAAGTTACCATGAGTGGTCAAATTTCGTTGTTGATGGCAGCGTTACGTACATGAATATTTGGGGTAAAAGCGAACACTGAGAATCGACTATTGTTACTAATACGAAGCATGGAATCTTGGTCTTGCGCCCAGTTTGGGAACAATTTTGGAGGCGCCAACCTAGGATGCAAAATTTTTTTTCATCTGGGGAATCGAACCTAGGATCAATTTGATCGCTAACGAGTTTCTCGGCTTGTTCGCGTAGCAGTTTTGACCTGCCATTTGTAACCATCATTCCAAACGCTATCGATTCATATAGGTCTCAGTTCAAAGTTCCATGGGAAATTTGAAACACTTTCCCTAGTAAAATGAATGCTCGTATGGGCCTACATAACAAGTTGCGCGGACCAGGAGACGTACCAATCAGTGACTGTATCCTCCCAGACAAATCTGGTATCAACTGATCGGCTGGGAGAGGGAAGAACTCAATTGGGATGGATGAGGATGGGTCGCGAGTGGGCAATTCACCACTACACCACCTCTACTCAGCCTCATATCACTTGACAGCAATAGCAATGCCATAAGTATAACAGGTCAGGTCTACCCCAAAGTGAGAGGTTCGTCTATTTGTGAAGTTATTTTTAGGGTAATATTTAGGCCGTTTTCAGCGATGCACGGATGTATTATTAGGTTGTCTCATAAATAGTGTCGCTTTTTTTCAACCAAAAAATTTTCATCTAAATCCCCATGCTTTTACATCGAGTCATATACCATTCGAAAGAGAATTGTCTGCTCTACAAGATTGTGTTCTTCTTCCACCTATGTTCCATGGTTTTCAAATTTTAGGCCTGCGAAATGGGAGGTCCCGCCGACAAAAATTGACCAAACCGACAACTAGCTCTAACTTTATTTTCCCTTCGGAGAAATCAATCAATGATGTACCCTCTACTTATGCATGACCTCTTCTAAACATTACACTATTAGGTTTCCCAACAAGTCGCGTCGTTCCATTTCCAGACCTGGTTTTTCAACCAGAACTCGACGGTCGAGCACCATTACCTGAGATCTAGGTCGAAATTTTTTATAGCCGAGACATTGAAAAACTAGTAGAATTTAAAGAACAAGTCATGACTAAGTTAGGAATGTACGCCTGGTTGATTTTCTCATCTTCTCAGGGATAATTTTTTTCAAAGAAATGCGGTCACTTTCGTGGATAAAACACCTTATTCCTAAACACCTAAAATTCGAACTAATTCCCAACAAACATAAAACAAAACAAATGAGCGAATAGAGCAGAAGAAGTGCTCACAAAAGGAACACCACTCGATATGAAACAATGGCGTTTACGAGGAACAATTTTAATTTGAAAATTGCTATGGCTTATCCGTCAGCCAATTCGAAAAGAAACACGGCAAAGCTTTTTCGGCAACCTAAGAGTGGAATGTTTAGAAGAGGTCATGAGTAAGTAGAGGGTACATCATTGATTGATTTCTCCCCAGGGAAAATAAAGTTAGAGCTAGTTGTCGGTTTGGTCAATTTTTGTCGGCGGGACCTCCCATTTCGCAGGCCTAAAATTTGAAAACCCTGGAACAGAGGTGGAAGATGGAACATACATTCTTGTAGAGCAGACAATTCTCTTTCGAATGGTATATGAAGTGTATAAAAATAGCTTGAACGATTTGAGCAGAAAAACTTTGTCATTTGAAATAAAAAAGCGGACCACTAAGTATTGAGACAACCTAATAACTTATCGCGTGAAGTTCTCACGGGCGAAAAATCTCGGGCGAATGTGCACCGGTTGCATTCTTTTGAACCGCCATCTCCACGAGCGCCTCCACTTAGCGCCAAATCTAATTCAGAAGAAGAGTGCCTCACTTGCCGATCGGAAAGGTCCACGATTTGCTTGTTTTTTTTGTCACTTATTACTGATTATCTATTAAACTACAAAATTAAATGCTCAAGTTATTGGTCTAGCACGTTGCCTATTACTATATTTTGTTGATCTCTTCCTGTCACCTGACAATGAAAGATTTCAAAGCGCTGCCTATAAAGAGCACAGCACGAGGATCGAATCCACAAGAGTACGCCTTTAAGGTCAACCATGTTCTTGCCCATTCTACTAGACTTATTCATTCCCGCAACCTAAGGTCGCCCCCTCTTAGGTCATTGATTGCGGAGAGTTATTGCTACACAAATCCCACTTACCTTTTCGAGGGAGCAAAGCGCCATGACGCATCTCGAAAGAAATAAATAATCTAAGCTAAATACTTAATCGCTTTTGGAATAAAAGAACAGTTTCAAGCAACCTAAACACTGCCAAATTTGCATTTCAGATCTTCTACGGAAATTGTATGATAATGCTAGGACCCAGTCAGATCATCCTCCTGTCTTAGCTTTGAAACGTTCGAAGCCAAAAGAATGCAAAATTCACTTACCCATGAAACGCACTAGTTGATCCATCACAGCGCCTCTGGAGTGATTGAATGTGTTCATCTGGAATGCACCCTCCGATATGTAGAGGATTGTTCGATCAACAAGGCCTTCGATCGAGTTGTCGGAGTATGCTGAACAAATTAACTTTGTTTGACTACCTTATCTGTTTATCTTTTGGTTTACCCATAAGCATTGTGGATCGCTCATTATTCAGAAAAATGCAAAAGTCACAAAGCGAACTAAAATAGAATTCCAGAGGAGCGGAGAAATGTTTCTCTCATAAACTTGAGGCTTCACATCAGGCTACGGTTCTTCAACGGCATTCAACCTGTGGCCTTCTGGTGCGGTTGACGTCGACACATCACTTTATCGTCGGCTGCCATATTCCCCAGATATTTATGCTCCAGAGATGCAGAAAGTCGACTCAGCTGTCCGTTACATTCGCAGTTGTAGCCCTTGCATGAGCCCCCAACATATTCCTGCCTGTAAAGGTCACTCGTTGCTATACCAGCATGGCGAAGTTGCGAAGGTTGCCGACGGCAGCACGTTTCAGAATGCTCTCAGAGCTAATACGTGCAGAGGACCTTGTAGCCCTGAGCAATTGACTCTAAAATTGTCAAAACATGGTGTTCATCTCAGATTGAGATAGATAACGCAGATCCCAGTCTTTACAAATCCGGGATTGTTCTTGGAACGGTGTCCAGAAATACATATTGTTCGGTCAGATGAGGGGCCGTGGATTTCTTCAATACAGGGGTCAACCCGAGAGAGCAGGCGAATTGGGTCATTGCTTGGGCAAGCTGCAGCTTTCAACCACTTATCGTCTTGATCAGTAGCTAACTTTCAGAACTTCTTCTCTGAAGATCTGATTGGAGGACTTCTGCAGGATTCCCGCACTGAGACTCACTTCTGGCAAGGCACAGGGGTTGGCTATAGTTGAACAATGTTTACTTTTGAACGGTGAAACCCCAGTTCGGGGGGGTCACTCCATTGCTATCTTATCCGTAGTACTAGAGAGCAGTTT